TCTCACTTGATGAGAATTTAAATATTTTGCAACTTATTAGCTCAGCAAACTCCCAATATTACATTTTCTCTGAAACCATCAAACCACAAATACACAATTTGTATGATCAATTATTTATTAAATTAAAGAACCTGCTTCTGCAAGCTGAACACGTAGCATTAGCTGTTGCAACATGGAAGCCTGAACTTTACGAGCCCACTAATTACTTGGAGATAACTTGTCATTGGATTTCTGATGATTTTCAGCTGCATGAAATTTTTTTAGACATTATTCCAATTTCAGAGTATCCCAATGGAATTTCCAAATACATCAAAGGTATTATGAACAAATGGAAATTGGATAAAAAGATCAATTCAATAACTAGAGACTCCGATAGTGAGGCAGACGAGGAAATTAAAGATGTCGCGCGAGTTGATGACGTCTTTTTTTACACAGATCCTATGGATCTGGATATTTATATCGCTATAGAAGATTTTCAAGAAAGATTTAGACAATTTACAGAAAAAGAAGAAGAGATTATTACCGAACGGCAAGACCAAATTAATATTGGAATAAAAAATTCCCAACGATTGATCACTCATTTAATTACACATGAGCGTGAATTTCTTAAGGAAGCACTTGCAGACGATCGAGATCATACCATCAATGAGCTGGTAGAATTTATCAATCACGAACAATTGTTTACATTATGTGCACTGGAGTATATAGTGATATTGGAAAATCAGATTAGAAAATGGATCGCCGCAATGTCCGATAATTTGGAGACCATATCCAAAGGAAAATGGATAAATAACTTATTACCAGATCCCATAGTAATCGGATTCTTTGATAAATTGAATCCTTTTCTGAAAAAACTGAAAATCGCTATGCAAAAACGCACTAGATACGAATTTTACACGTTGATCGAGGCCATGCAATTTATAGATCAAGAAATAATATATGACGACAAAATAGAGGAGAATATGAATCGGAATCAACTATTGTTAAATGATATTTTTATTTATTTTTTTATTCATAAATTTTATTTACATACATTGTTTTATGAGTTTGATATTATACATCATAAAATCTTTTTTTTTAACCCACGATTAAAATATAATCCTGGACTCGATGTAAGTATTCTTGCGTGCCTTTATTGTTTCATAAATTTTACAATTGATATTTATACCTTCCACTAGTCTTCGTTAAGAAAGGATGCATATGCGGAAATTGAAATAGAATATCAAGAATTACGCGAAAAACGAGCATCGCAAAATGGCTCGGCTAGCTTTGGGTCGGTAACAAGCTCTGAGCACCAAGGAACCGATGAGTTCGAAAGATATAACGTGTTAACACTATTTGATCAGAGTGAACACACTGATCCTATCGAATGGTGGCGTCAACATAAGAACGAATTGCCTGTTATGTCCAAACTTGCGCAGAAGTATCTAGCCATTCCTATGACATGCCATCCTTCTGATAGATCATATTCTGGATATCGTGAAGATATGAAGAAATTAGTAAATGATTTTAAGGATTTCAGTGTGGCCAGAAAGATTATATTTTTGAAACATAATGTGAAGTATCTTGAAAAATTGGATTCAGATAATTAATTTTGGAAAGCTGCATTGCTAATGATGTATTGTCGTCACTATTACTTCTTACTATTGCCGTGCTTTCGCCCGCTATTAAGTCGCACCGCGAAAAATAGCAGCACAAAGATTATCGTTATCCTATTTTCATTAAAAATTCTTTTAAGTTAGGGTTGATATTTTAATTTCCTACTTAGATAATCCTGTAATTTATGGAATATTACTGTACATTTAGACATTTATTTATTTACTCTATGAATGTTCCGGCTAGGGAGAGATAAGACCACCAACACTATATGCTGTATATTATACGAGAAATAAATTTAGGTATAGAGCTTATTTTCACCGTCAAATGGTCCAGTCGCGTATGAACCTTGGCAATATTTTATTTGCTGGTTAACATACTCTAACCGCATCACAACAAGTCACTCTTTTCATTCTTTAAATTTCCAAAGCACGATACATTTATACCATCAATACATTCGAATTTTTCAAAGAAACTCAAACTGAGAACTTTAAACCCATAACTTGTGCACTTGTAGAAGAGTAGATCGATTTAATTAAGAATCTATGCTCTCGGAAAAAAAATGAAACTCTGGTATTTGGTAATTTGATTCAGGGCAAAGCATAGAAAAAAAAAATAGAGGAACTTAACAGCGATGAGGTATTATCGTTATGCAAATGAAATTTATTACACCCTTACCCAATTATCAAGCAGTTAGAATTATAATTCTTTCAAATAAAAAGAATGAAAGAAGGGTGGAGTGGAGGTTATTTTGATTTAACGTCGCAGAAATTACATAAGATTAAAATCCTTATTACGCCTGTACATTTTGGGTCTATTTGCAAAAATGCGATTCATAGTATTTATTATTCAGAATGCGAGAAATATGCAACTAAAATAAAATAGATAGATACGTTAATTTAGCTCAGTCTTATTGCTGTGATAAAATATCACCGCTTCGCTTTAACGAGTAACTCAAAAATACCTTTAGACGTAAGCATTAGTCTTACTCTGGTAGAACGGAAACACATTTTTTGATGTCATTTAGCATCTTTTTTCTCCATTGATCATAACACATTGTCGATGATTTTCCCTCAACCTCGCCAGCAATTTGCTTCCAGTCCAGAGGAGGAAGTCGTTTGATGATAGCATCTAGGAGTTGGGTGCGTTGTTCAGATGTCCAGCCTTTAGGCTTGATCTTAGACTTGGCTTGTAAGTTTAATTTTTTTTTTTAAAAAAAAAGCAAGCAATAAAGTTGGTTGGCTCGGGAACAATAACAAAGCATATCATAATATTTAAAGTCTCATTTTTTTTCGAGTAACTTATATTTAAAACTTCCATTATTAGATGTGGACAAAACAAAAAAATAGTCATTTAAATACCTGAAGTTGTCCCTCCCACCTTTAACCCATCATCGTCCAAAGAACTATCATGATTTGATCGGCTTGACTCTTTATCATCATCACCGCCAACTTCCTCTGTTTTAGACAGTTTGCGCCGTTGCTTAGCACCGGTGGTATTTGCTGTTACGTCATTATCATCGGATTTCACAAGTTTACGACGTCGCTTTTGGCCGACAATGGGAGCTAAAGATGTGGACATCGTTTAAGCGAGAGTATGAAGTATATGAAAATGAGCAAGAATCTATGAAGAAAGGAAAATAATAGAGTTTAGACTAGACGGAGCGGAAACAATTCTCTTAAAATTATAATATCCTTTTATTGATGTGATTTAATTCTGACTCGTCTCTTACACCAAAAAAAAAAAAAATTAATTAAATATTTATTAATACTTGACGTCAAGTTTTTTTTATCCTCTAGACCATTTGCTTTTTAATTTATCAAGATGCGAACACTTAAAAGCACCCGAAGAAGAGTCATAGCTAATATTATTGAATCAAATTGGTGGAATAGAATATTAGTACTTTTTTTTTTCTAGTAAAAAAACAAAAACAAACGTATTTATTTCATAACGATAACGTATACAACGTATACACATGCTTTGTTATATTGTAGTATCAAAAACACTAAGATATAGTATACAATATAGCAGTCAACCAATCAGAATCTTCCTTTAGAGAGCCGAAGCCAATATGAGAAATCAGAAGTTTACTGTGTCTGACAAGAATCGACTTTCTTATAAATGTTTAAAAATTTCACACCTCCGAAAAAGGACTTGTATGCTCCTTTAACGCTCTTTTTATATTAAGTTAAGGAAGTGGTGCTGTTGTAGGTTTAATAACAGGATTCCTTTAATAATTACATTTGAATTGGTTGGACAGATTTTATAAAAGTATATACGCTTGTGAATATAAATACCAGTACTCTATTTATCATACAGTATATTGCTAGGCATGTTTCTGTCATGCCTTTAAGCCAAGATATGTACTGTACGTATATTAAAATAATTAAACCTAATTTTATTTTTATATATTGGTTTGTTATTTTGCAAAAAAATGCAGTGATATAAAATTGAAAAAAATTAATACGCCTTAAAATTTAAATGATTTCAATGAATGCAAGGGACCATAGCCGCTTGGTCAATGTCATATTACATTACAATCGGCGTTACAAGAGAAAGAGAAACTAGAAATCAAATTGTTATATTTAACGTAGGATTTGTCAATCTTTGCTGAACACTTCTATCAACAAATGCCAAGAATCATGCAATTATTGAAACTGTCAAGAGAATGAAATAAATTATCTTTTATGCAGTTTCCACACTTGCACGGTAGTATTTCGACGTCTATGTGGCGTTTTTTTTCCTATCTCATATTTTGATACGCAATTTACTAATTGTTAGTCCCGGTGTCGAATGTGTGCCGGTTATTATCCTTATGACTTACTATTACAATGCAGAAAGTTCGATTGTTATCACGGACTCGTATATTAAAAAAACTGAAAATTTTTTTACAAATATGTTGATACGTCGTTCTGATATTCTGAGAAAATGTTTTACCAAGCGAGTTCAATGTTACGGTAAATTCAACACTAGCTTGTTTCAAATTTTAAATTTTTAATAAAAATGACAGCAAAAATATTGATAGTATGAAAAAAATTTTATGCAATAAGTTTGACAATATACATTTTGACAAAGTTGTAACATTATAAAATCTTTCGCGTTACATACTAAAATATTATAAATATATTGAATTATAAATATGAATGATTTAAATGCACTACCTTCTCACATGCCGTTTAGACATAATTATTGTGCGCTTTCTTGAGGATTTGTCACAGAGGTTTCAACATTACTATTTGTTTTATCGTTGGTTTTAGAGGTAACTTCGTGTGTTTCTTCTATTCCAACGGCATTTCCGGTTGTAAGTTCATTTTTTATTCCGAGCGTACCTTCCGGCTTTTGAGCATCTGCAGGTTCTGTGTTGGCTTCAGGTTTGGATGAATTTGGATTATCTTTAAGTGGATCGATATTGTCCTCGTATTTAGATGGATTGAGACTATCTTCAGTTTTAGATGGATTGAAACTATCTTTGGGTCTAGTGGAATTAAGATTCTTAGGTGTAACGGTATTATCTATTGGAGGTGGGTCAAGTTTATTTTCCGGTCTAGACGGATTGAAGTTGTCTTCATTCTCAGGTTTAGGTGGATTGCAACTATTTTCGAGTTTATTCTGACTGGAACCATCTTCAGTTTTAGATTGGTCGCAATTATCTTCATGTTTATGTGAATTGCAGTTACTTTTGGATTTAAGCGGTTCAGGTTTATTTTCGGATTTGGGATTAATATTGTCTTCAAATGTAGTTGGATCACGAATATCTTCAGGTTTGCACTGATTGAAGTTATCTTTAATTTTAGGTGGGTCGCGATTATCTAC